TTAACATTTTATTTTTAAACAATTTAAGAGGGATATATTTAGCCATTTTCTTACTCACTTTGGCTTACCTTTATAATCCTCTCACAGTGGCTGACTCTATAAATTCATAAACCACTGAAAGCTGCCTTTCTATGTGCTTCTCATGAATTCCAGCCGTACCTAAACATACAAAAATTTTAAATCGCACATCAACTAAGTTCTATGTCTATGCCAGAGGGCACTCTTCTATGCAATTCTCACAAGTGTTGGCAATCGATTCGTATACTAAATTCAAGTAAGGGACAGGGTTCTATATACTCTTCTTTAGTTGGTTTTTGCTGCAATTCGCTCTTCTATGCAATTCTCACAAATACAAGCAGCTGACGAAAAATCTCTTTGACTTTCTGGCTTTTTTTTTACTGTTTTTTTTTTTTTTTTTTTTTTTTTTTTTTTTTTTTTTTTTTTCTAGCATAGCCTAAAGCCTTTGCTGTGCCAGATTTCCGTCTCCATTGACCGTTAATCACATCGTATCGTATCGTCTGTCGCACTGTTTGTTAGTCTCGCTCTGTCTGCCGTTTGGCACATGCTAAAACGTGTTGCCAAAAATGAAGAGATAAATGCAACGTGGCGGCACAAAGCAAAGCGACGCCAAGTTGAAACGTGCCAAAAATTAACAAAACGCCCAAACGGCCAAATGGACAAACAGCCTTTGTCGCATAGATGCGAGAATACAGATAGAAACATGGCAAAGATAAAGCTAGAGTGTGGGAGAGAAAGCAGTGTGAGAGAGAGAGAGAGAGAGAGAGTGGGGACAGTTCCTGCTAAGTTTATCTGGATGTTAACTAACCCGGACAAGTGTCAAAGCATTTAGCATGCGCTGAATTTTAATTTCACACTTTGCACTGCAATCAAAAAGCATTAAGCGGCAACAAAGCGGCACGCCTACCAATGTCGAGGTGTCAAATGTGTGTGTGTGTTTGTGCGCGCCTTGCATGCCAGCTGACACGCCCACAAAGGCGCTGGGGCTGCTGCTGATGCTTTCTGCTGCTGCTGCCTCTGCTGCGGCTGTTGACTGTAATTAGCACACTCTGATTTGTATTTGGCTAACAATAAAATGACAGCTTTTGGCCAAATGGCACGCAACGTTAAGGCTCAGCCATGTCCACGGAATGAGTACGGAAATGCCAGCGCAGCTTGGCGTGCGCTCATTTCGATTGCATGCCAGGCAAGCTAGCCAGGCGCAGGCAACAGCCATGAGCCATGTGTCTAAACACTGACCAGTCCGGCCCACAGCGTAATAAATTCCAATAAACGAGTGCATAGCCTTGGCCAGTCACGCCCACAGGAGCTGCAGTGAGGTGGTGTGGGTGGAAGGGCAGCTGGTGTTGGAGCTAGCCGGGGAGGGGGGGGGGGGGGGGGGGGGTGCGGTCAGGACTTGGCAGCTGCCTCAACAGGTTTTGCTAGCTTTTGCTGCACTCGCACTGAAATATGATAGCCGCTAATTAACGCTTGCCCCCGGAACGGCGGCATAGAAGGCTTGCTGCGACCTATGAGAGAGGGAGAGGGAGAGAGATAGAGAATGATGCCCAGTGAGAAAGGAGTGTGAGAGATGAGATGAGCATTTGTGCTTCATTAGAAGGGCAAAAAATTAGTGTGTGGGCCTGAGTGTGCGTAATGAGCCTGAGTGTGTGTGTGTGTCTGTGTGTGTGTGTGAGTCTGTGCATTTTATGTGCTGCATTGTATGTGTTGAATTTCTAAGCGAATTTCTCATTTGTGCTCATGTAGTATACTCTTTATGAGAGTAAGTAACTTAGCTTGATAACTTTATAAAGTGTGAATGGAGAAATCTATGGGCACAAACATAAGTTTATAAGCATCTGAAACGTACTTCATATAAATGTTTATTCTTTGGAATGATTTTTATTTTATTTTTTAACAGAGACTTGTATTAATTTAAAATTAGGCCTAATTTAGGAATTAAGCACTGGGTTCATCCACTTGAGTTTCGATTTTTAATAAAAAAATATTTACATTTTGAATTTTTATACTTATTTATTATTGTATTTTTGCAAGCCAACGCATTTCATCTGAAAGCACATTTTATTAATGCATCGCGGCATTAAAAATAATAATTATTTTAAGCCAGAAAAATAATGTAATCTTTCAAGATACTGTAAAATGGAGCAGAAAGGGTTTAAATATACATATATGTATACATATATCTGTAAA